TGTGGTATCTGTTTTAATTCCATACTTCTTTGGAATGGTATGTTGGGTTACAAATTCAGTTAATGTGATAAAGGCCACACACTGTTAGATCTTGCTATTTTGTTGCCTCCTTGTGATCCCTGAGCCATTGTTCTTATCTACATGGTTCATGATGACTTGATACACTTCCATGTTCTAAGCCCTGAGAGGGAAGAAGCCCATATGCAGGTAGTCAGATATGCGATTTTTATTCATATCATTTTTGCTAGAAACTAGTCACAGGCAGCTGTAAGAGAGGATGAGAACTGTTGTCATCATCTGGGAGCCAAATTTGAAGCAGAAAGTAGAGGGCTTTTGTTATTAAAGAAGAAGAGAATATATATTGGGCACAAGTAGTAGACACTGCCTCAGGTACATTTGATTATTAGCCACATTTTATGGATGAGGAAATCAAGCTTATAACTTGGCTCAGGTAAGGCAGACAATGAAGACTAGCATGAGAGATTTAAACCAACATTTGTTTGACTCGATGGCCTATATTTTTGTGTCTGTGTCCTCTGCCATATGGCTTTGTGGAAGATCTCAGTAGTTAAAGGGATAGGACAATGGGAAGGAGAATCAACATAACATCTGTTGTGGTTGTCTGACATATTCAGGTTAAACTCCAGAGCTGGGTCAGACATCCAAGGTCAGAAAACCTATGGATTGGCATAAAGGATGCTGAAGGTGGGTGTGCCTGCTCAGACACAGGCAGAGACAGTTACAGTCCCTTGGCAATCAGCTGACATCTCAGCCACATCAATTCTGAAGACAAATTTCTGGTGTCATCAGCTCAAGAGAAGTTTTTAGATTTTTGGTTCCTGTATTATTAGCTTTCTGTTACTGTGACACATACCTGAGACAATCAACTTAAAAGGAGGAAAGGGGTTTTTTTTGGCTTGTGGTTTCAGTTTATGGACCCTTGGCCCTGTTGCTCTAGATCTGTGGCAGCAGAGGATGTAATGGTGGGAGAGGATGGTGCAAGAGATATGTTTAACTCATGGCAGTGAAGAAACAAAAGCAACAGGAAAGGGCCATGGTCCCAGCATGCCCTTTGAGGGCACACTCCCAGTAACCAACTTCCTCCCACTAAGCCCTGTTTCCTGAAGGTTTTAACCAGGTACCAATAGTGTTACAGGCTGATGATGAAGCCTTAATGCATGGACCTGTTGGGGACATTTCAGATTCAAGCTGCAGCAGCTCCCTGAGAGGAAATTGTGCTTCCTATTGAGATTGGGTATTTTACTGTGAGACTCCAAGGAGAGAGACATGTCCTCTGGCCCAGTGAAGGATGGAACAGGCCTTCTTTACAAATTTATGTTCTACAGTGGTAGTCAGATTTCTTTGATTCATATTCTTATTATCTGGAGGCAAAAGAGATTCAGAAGCCTTCTGAAAAACCTTAAAGCTGTACATTTTAAAACAGAGTTTGAAAGGTAGGGTATTACTCGATGGCTTAGCTGTTTTAACCTCAATGAAATGAGGTATGGAGAATAATGACACTTATGGTACATTAGGTGTTGAAGGATGTCTTAGGGTGGAAGTACATATTAGTGGCATGAACTATCTAATAGAAATATAATCTGAGCCACATATGTAATTTAAAATTTTCTCAAAGCTACCTTACCAAAATTAAAAAGAAACAAGTGAATTACTTTTAATAATAGATTTTATTGAAACCAATATGTATAGAATATTGTCATTTCAGCTTATAATCAATGTAAATATTTAGAGAGATTTAATGATTTTTTGGTACAGTGTTTAAATCTATTGGATATATAACTGTAAACCTCATTGCAACCAAGCTACATTTCAAGCTCTTTAGGTAGTCTCTGTGGGTTTAGTCTCTATGTCTGACAGATAACTCAGACTTGGAAGACAATCATTTTCATGAGGAATGGTTGATCTAATTCTGGAAAATAGAGAGAAAAGCTGTTACCCTAAAATAGAGCAGAGTGGAAAAAACCAAAAAGAAAGAGTTTTGGATGAAAACATGAAGGAAATAGTTATCATCCTTAGAAATCCAGGCAGACATGAACTCAAGAATGGGTTATAGCATCTCTATTTTGGCACAAAGCTAATTGTTACAAATATTTATTTGATTGATTTTTAGCCCTCCACCCACCCCCCTGGAGAGCCTCAAAAACTTCAGTTATAAATGAGATGTGCAATTTTATGTTCTGTGAACAAGAAAGTCTATTTTAAACATGAGAATTTAGAAAATGCTATGTATTATAGAACACAATATAGCCTGTTAATATAACTTAATATGATTTATATTGTCTGCCATATGAATACTTAGACAAATTAGAATAGTTACATAGTTTCTCCATGGTACTTTTATAATTAAAACAAATATTGTTCATATAAATATATATGTTTCCCCCTTTAAGATGCTCTTTAAAGGAAAACATTGCAAGCAATGGAAAAATTCCAGTACTATTTTATTCAAATTATCTACAGGAATGTAAAATTATTAGATAAATAGTAATTTAAATTTGAATTATGAAAAAAAAATCTAGGAGAGGGATTTTTGATAAACAACTTTTAGATAAAAAGATTTCCAATTTATGACAGCCCGAGTTCCTTAGTAGAGGAGAAAAGTAACTTAAGTACATGCCAATCTTTAGAATTAGGCACAGTGGGCAGCCATGGCGTAGAGTGTGTGGCTTCAGACCACTGAGAAGCCTTCATGCACCCTTAGACCCACCTGTACTCTCAAGGTGAGGCCTTCCCTAGGGCTTACCCATCTGGGCATCTTCAGGGAAAATGGAAGGACACTGTGGAGCTGACGCTGTTAAGTTGGTATCATTCACTTTTGCACGATTCAGATAGAAAACAAAATGGAACAAGAGGAAACAGAATTCTGTCCTTCCTTCTACTGTTGCCCAGGCTCCTTTTCTCCTGCTCTGCTTTTACCTCCTTACTTCTGAGGAAAGTCTGCCAGGCTCAGCTTCATACTCTTTTTTCCAGTTCCCAGTGGCCTTTCATTTGTAGGCTATTAGCAAAAGACATTAAACCACCCACTCTGGTGAATCCCCGGAGGAATGTACATGTGTGCAGTTTGGATGCTCATTTTCGGCTTCAGTCTGCCCAGAGCCTGGGCTTTATGTATGTATTCTGCTTTCCTGATCAGAGGAGTATTTCATTGCCAGTGATGCTTTGGCCTAATGATGGTTATCTTTATGAGAAAGGACAGGGGCAGAGAAACCACAGCTCCTTAGAGTTTTAAAGAAGAGAGAGGGGAATTGGATTAGGTTCCTAACCTAATAGTCCCGAGGGCTGGGTAGGTAGAAAGGGTATCTGTAATGTTATGAATATGTATGGTGGCACTTAAAAGGCAGTTAATGCATGAGCTCTAAATGGCAATAAAAGGAAATCTGGGTCAGATGTGAGAAGGCACCATGAAAAGACGTTAGATAAGAAGAAATAGAAATAATTATTGAAGTGAATATGACAGTTAAGCCAGTAATGAGTGATAGAATTGCAGGCGATCGGATTTTTCCTTTCAAATCCTAACTTTCACTGAGGTTCAGAATGATAGAGGATGGAAAATGAACATAATGAATTTTATGCATTATTATTTAAGTGAGCAGAGCTGTAGTTATTAATAAAAGAGGATTTGAGGATTTTGAGGGATCTCTGTCTCCCTTCCTGTTTTCTCCTGGGATTGGAGGATGACAGTTGTTTCTGTGCTCCCTTGGTGGACATCACAGGGTAGCATCTCCCGAGGGATGCACATTGGTTGTTAGGGTTTCTGTGTGGACATGAATCACTTAACATTTCTTAGTGGT